GAAAGTTTTCAATTGTTCCATCAGTAATTGATGTCATGACGTCACTGATTAATTTCTGGTGGAAGGTGAAAGTAATTCTCAAATGAAAAATTTGACGTTTGACATCACTTCAAAACTTAAACCCGTTTTAATTTAAATTAACAGTAATTTATCTGTTGTGCAGTCGTTTTATATTTAAACTTTAAAGTTTTGTATTGTAGGTTAACTTTTATCTAAACAATCGTGTTCACACGTTCAAACAAATTGATTAACTAACCCTTCCATTCATCCATTCACAAATATTAATTTCTTAAAACTTTTAACAGATACGCCACTTTCCACACAAAAAAATCTGATGTGTCCAACACATGACTTTCCTATCTAGTTAAACTATTGCAGCATCTCTAAAAATGTTTAGAGGATAAACTAAATACAGTAGAACTCCAATTATCCGAACTCCGACTATCCGAATCGCCGATTATCCGAATCACAAATGCGCGTCAAGTCTTGACGGAGATGTTTAAAAAACAATGATTTTTATTTCTAAACTTGTACATAAGTACATTTTATTTATATTTAAAACATGTGAAAATTTCATGTTTCTTTCATTTAATTCAATAAAAAAATAGTGCAATATCAAAACGTAGCTTTTATTCTCTCCAATGGCAATTTTTTTAAAAAAAATCCGATTATCCGAATATTTGATTATCCGAATGGGTCCCGGTCCCCATTAATTCGGATAATTGGAGTTCTACTGTATATACATTTTCCACATACATCTACCTCGAAACATTTTTCTATAGATATTCATTGAAAACGAAAATACTGAAAAATTAAAATTTAGCACTTTTCCTCCAATTTTTCCATTACGGTCCATTTTAGAAAAGTCATTTAAGAACAAAAATTATAGAGATCGATATCGCAAACAACTTTTAGTTTAACAATTTTCTTAAAAATCAGAATTTTGCACATTTTGTCAAATTTCTCGAATACGGACCATTTCAGGAAAATTTGACATAGAACAAAAATTATAGATAATAATATTGTAAGTAACTTTTATTTAAAGAATTTTCTTCGCCAAACGTAAATAACGAATATATTCCATAAAATATAAAAATGACCACCAATAAAGTACCCCCCCCCCCCCAAAATGTTCCGACTCTGTCCAAAATCTAATCAGTTCACCTCAGGTCGAAATAAAACTTAAGTTTAAAATTTAATGTTTTTTCCTTTATCCGTTTTTGAGTTTTCTTCAAAATTCGAAATTTACACATTTTCTCAAATATCTCGAATACGGTCCATTTTAGAGAAATTATGTATTACTAAAAATTATAGAGAATTATATTATAAACAACTTTTATTTAAACAATTTTTATAAAAAATTATTTTTTTTTACATTTTGTCAAATTTCTCGAATACGGACCATTTTAGGAAAATTTTGCACAAAACAAAAATTATAGATAATTATATTAGAAGTAACTTTTATTTGAAGAATTTTCTTCTCCAAACGTAAATAACAGATATATTCCATAAAATATAAAAATGACCACCCATAAAGTACCCCCCCAGATGTTCCGACTCTGCCCAAAATCTAATCAGCTCATTGGACGCTGAAACAAAGCTTAAGTTTAAAATTTGGTGTTTTTCTGTGTATCGGTTCATGAGTTATGCGACCTATAGACACACACACACACACACACACACACACACACACACACAAACACACACACACACACACACACACACACACACACACACACACACACACACACACACACACACACACACACACACACACACACACACACACACACACACACACACACACACACACACACACACACACACACACACACACACACACACACACACACACACACACACACACACACACACACACACACACACACACACACACACACACACACACACACACACACACACACACACACACACACACACACACACACACACACACACACACACACACACACACACACACACACACACACACACACACACACACACACACACACACACACACACACACACACACACACACACACACACACACACACACACACACACACACACACACACACACACACACACACACACACACACACACACACACACACACACACACACACACACACACACACACACACACACACACACACACACACACACACACACACACACACACACACACACACACACACACACACACAGACATCATCGCGAAAATAGTCAAAACGGATTCAGGGGACCTCAAAACGTAAAAATCCGTCGAAAAAAATCATGATTCCTATACTTTCCTTATATCTGTATACAAATAGGAAAGTAAAAATCTGTAAGTGTAAGGGTTTTGTAGTACTTCACTTTTAAAATCCATTTTTTATTTTTAGTAAAAGATAAAATCTGTGCTTCTCTGGAACCAGTTTTTCAAAAATTTTATTGGTTTGTTCTAAAAAAAAATCAAAAATCGTCTTTTTTATTTTCTCATTTTTTTTTAGTTCAAACAGGATCAAATTTTGAAAAAGTGGCTCTAAATTACCTTTGCCTACATGTAAATATTTTTTCCTTTTATTAAAAATAAAAAACAAACTTTAAAAGTGGGGTACTGCTCTGAAGTAACTACCCTTTGTTATTTTTAATTTATTTTTTTAGACCCATGTTATTTTTTATGAGTCAGCATTTTAATACTTACACGAGTAATAACTAATACCCATGTCGTAAAATAATTTTCATAATTTTTAACAAACCGTATGCCAGCCTATCATAAAAACCCAAAAAAAATGTTTTTTTATAATTTTATACATTTTACAACTCTGGTACCAACCGATTAGTAACAAATAAATAAAGCCCTTTGTCCCCAAAACGCGTTCATGATGGGTTAAAAAATATTTAGTCGTAAAAAACTGAAAAAAAAACCATCCGACAAAGGTTAAAAAGTCTAATATGGGTAGTAGAAGTACCTAAAAAAAAGTTTTGTACCTACCTCTCTAAAAAACGGCTCGCTGAAGAGTTATAAAATAATAAAAAAATGCGGAAATAGGGTTTATTATTTGCAAAAACGATTTAAATTCTAATAACGAAAGTGAAAAGTGTTTTATTGTGGTTGTATGTAGGGGTTTGGCATTTTTTTTTATTGTGGGGTTATAAAACAAGCGTCTTGCTAATAAAATTAGTAGACGTTTGATGTCTTGTCACAGGATAAACTCAAATTAACCTTTTGTCAAATCACCCCATTGCATTGATTCATATTTCTGCTTTTATTATAGATTTTTTTCTAAATTCAATTCTCGTCAGTTGAAACTAATTTGGGCATTTATATGATATAAAACTAAAATTTGTCTAAAAAATTTGTGATCACCTGTTTGAATTTAAATTTCGGCTTTAACATACTAACATTGGTGACATGTCGGGTTTTAACAGAGATTTGCCTTATGAACGACGTTTATGAAATAAAAAAAAACATAACTTTATTTATATATAATATTTTTAGCAATTCATTAAAATGGACTGATTATCCAGTTGTTGCAGTCTGGACTTTATCTTTAAATGACTATAAAACTGAAACAGAATGAAAACAAAACACAAAATTAGGACAAGTGAAAAACACGTGACCAATGTCTTCACTCCCATTGGCTGGCGTTGACATGTCGATCTTTAAAAATAAAATCTTTATGGACGTGTCAGTTTTGAATGTAAGCCAAGCATGCTGGTATATTTAGTGACATCAACATAGCCTTCCATCTTGGACCATTTTTATCCGAAATAGTAGACTCCGAGCTTGCTAATATAAGAAAAATGTAAATTATGTAAATGCGGTTAAAAAAAAATTACATTTCGAATTTCTATGGTGTTCGACTTTTGGTTTGAGATGTCACATCGCCAGGCAACCAAACGTCTTTCCGATTCACCAGCTAAAATGACTCATTTATGAATACTGCTTTAAATTTTGATGACTTTGATTAAATGTTAGATTTTAGATTTACAAGAAAATATCGAGCAATAGTTTTTTTCCAGGGCATATATGAGTTATTCTTTAGACACCCTGTGTAGAAATAGGCACAGGATGCGATTATTACAATAACAAAGAAACCGAAAGCAATTCTCCTTTATTCAATATCCAATAGATGAGCTTTTAAATCGATTGAAAATCGAACTGGGTCGCAACCCGATACTATTATTATCGTCATAGGTAAAAAAATGTTTGTTTGCCCCTAAAACATATTGAACACTTGTAAAAAAACTTTCACCCACTTTTAAGATGAGACAAACCCTAGAATTATATAAAATTCGTAGTAAAATATGTTATACAGGGCGACTCTATAATGCACAAGTGCGGTGGCTTGAAAGTTATAATTTTTTGTAATTATTTAAGTTGAAGTTTATATTTGAAGTATTATTTAAACCTTTATTGAAAAAGCGTTTAAAATCATACTCGTTAAATTTAGCATCGTGAGCTCTGTCACCCTTTGGATGCGTGACCAAGCTTGTAGGCTCGTGACCCATCTATTATTAAGTCTCAGTCAAGCTCGTATTATTTAAATAGGTGCAGATTCTCTATATGTAAGAACTACAGAAACTTATTCAGGTTTATGGTCTTTTCAGCGGATAGTATTTAAAAGAACAGCCAATAACTAAAAAAATCAAGTTGCCTCTTCACTAACTTTTGTTATTATTTCCTAAAAATTTCTTCCATACTTTTATAGCATTGCATTCAAGAGGTGCTGATAATGCCACGATAATCACAACTTCATTACAACATAACGTCTTTGTTATTGATACTTGTTTCTTCACTGTTTTTTCTATTAATTTGCATAAATGCGACACAGAATAATTACCGCAAGTAGATATTTAGCAAGTTACAGTTTTATTTTAATTCCCATAAATGTTAATGCTAAACGTCCAAGGTCAGTCTTGCATTCGTAAAATGTTAATTCTAATTAAAAACTGGTAATACTGCAATTATGTGGATCACGAATTTTATAAGCCGTTTATCTTACATTGAACTGGTTCAGTTAGATCGATATCTCTGTGTTTAGTTGTCAGAATAAGTATGATTTTAGTTGTAGTTTTCTGTGGTGCTGTTGTTGTTTCGGTTCAAAGTCAAGGTACACAAAAAAATGTTTATTTATTTATTAAATGCACGTTAAAATTTAACGATGTAACGTTGTAATTTTATTTTATCGGAGATGGGTTAACCCATTTACTACAACAGCTTTAAATACTGGGCTTTAGATTTGAGGTTGGTTAACAATTATGGACGAACTAATTTTATTATAATGGTTGGTGTAGACGTAATTTTGGACACGAGAAAGTTGAACATAATTATAATCTTTGACCGCATACTGTTCGGTCCATATATGTGGAATAAATTTATGTTTAGCGTGATTTTAAACTTTTAGTAAATATACTAAAATAATTCGGTTTTAAATGATGGGTTTACCTGAAAATGGGCGCCAAAATATTGCATGTAGAAACTTCTACTCAAGTATGTCTAGTAATAATTTATAATTGTACTAAATACTCGCAACACTGTTTCCAATTTACAAACAGGGAGAAAAACTGATTTAATTAATTACAGGTAAGTATCTTTAATTAGCAGTCTAGCCAGAATATTTTCAAAAGTAATCCAGACTAGATTAAACAATTTCTTAGATAAACACAGCAGCACAACGGATTTCGGCCAAACATGTCTACTCAAGATGCCATTAAAGCATTAACTGAGAATATTTTTGACAAAACTATGCCATCTATTGATCTATTCATAGATTTAGCAAAGGATTTTGATACCATTGATTATACCATCCTTTTAAATATATGATATGGGTGTAAGGGGTATTCTACACGAACTGTTAAAAACTTACTTAGGAAATAAAAAGAAAACAGTAAAAATAGGTGACATGTTGAGCCAAGAAAAAAATATTACATGTGAAGTACCACAAGGGACTGTGCTAGGGCCTATTCTTTTTAATATTTATTTAAAATTGACTAAAAGAGCTGAAATCAACCAAAAATGTAGAAATCTACCAAAAGTTGGATCAAAGTCAAAGTGACCTAGAGATTAAGGGAGTATGCACATATACATATGATTTACTTTAAAGAAGATAGGATTATTGGTGTTACGTTAAAAAGTGAATATTTTAGTTATTGTAACATTTGTTTTGTTTTTAATATGTTGAAAACGATCTATATTATTATCAGATTATGCAGAAAGATTCATTCATTTTTGTGTAACAATATTATTATATGAAATTTTACCTATTTTCAATTTTTATTGTAAATTTAACCATTTGCACAATATGTCGCACATGTCAAATAAAATATTATATTATACCATTGATTGGCAAATAAAACAAGTGAACTAAATGTTTATTTTATAAGATCAGTCTCATCACAATACAAATACGAATGCAAATAATAATTTAATCAAGGCTAAAACAATACATAATAGTCTAAAAAAATATGTGTAATAAAAGAATGATGGAAAATTATTTAATAGGTTTATCAGTACCTCGGAGATAAACTGAACTATGTCATTCTAGTGAAATTTTCAGTAGAGCAGAATGAATGTTGTTTGGACACTTTTCCTGTTCCATATTTACATATAATAATTTTATTTTGACAATAAATGCAGTTATCCCCAATTATTGTCACAGTATTCATATTATTTGTTTCCTGATCCCACTAATGCTCTTTAGTTTTCACTTGGAGAGTGTTCAATAGCCGATACTATATGTAAATGCTAAAAATTTGTAGTTTAAATGAACACATACTTCGAAAATGGAGAAAAACTGAGACAGTAAATTAGTATACTTGAATTTTAAAGGATGTTACCACTGGAAAATTATTATCTAGGTCTTGGATGACAGCCATAGGACTCCCTGCATGAATCATGTCCATAGAAAAGCATAAGATCTTAGTAAAATTATAATATTACAGGTTATTAACTGAAAAATATGAAAAATTATTACAAACTTATTACAAAATTAGCACTTACATTAAAAGAAGGGAAAACTGAAATAGAAAATTTTTATACTTGAATTGTAAAGACTTTTCCCACTGGAAAAGTATTATCTACGGCGGAGACCACATACTTTGATTTTCTTTTACTATATGGAGAATGGTCGCACTGCGCAGCTTTCTGAGTGTCTTTTAAAAGGAGATAGAAAACTCCGCCATTTTGAACCCTTATTACGTGTTGCCTACATCTTGGCGCAATATTTTTAATAGGTGCGTTTTAATCATCCGCTTCTGCTTCGGAATTGTAGGTTTTCTTGTTTTAATCTGACAGGTTAAAACGACTAAACCGACAATTCCGGAAGCAGAAGCGGATGATTAAAACGCATCTGATATTTTGCTTGCTGCTGTCAGTGTCAGTAAATATTATTTTTGGAGTCACAGTTTATTGCTAAAGAATCAGTTAGCTCACTCGGACCAGTTGAAAGTTCCAAAATAACATCCACTCCAGGGATACAAATCCAGGGCTGGTATTATGTGTCATGTAGAATTCTACTTATCGTTTTCTACAATAGAAATCTATTACTTTCTTTTGTTATGAATACGTTATCAACCGCACGGGAAATATCGCAATGTGGTTTCTTATGAAACTAGTTATCCTGTAGTAGTTTTCCGCTATGTTACACAGAGTGCCACAAAAGAAAGTAATCGATTTCTATTGTAGAAAACGATAAGTAGAATTCTACATGACACAGAGTACCAGCCCTGGATACGCAGAAGACTGCTGTTTTATTATAGGCGGTTGTCATATATTGTATTATCCGAGTTTCGCAGTGTATAAACTAAAACATTGAGATAAAAAGTGCCGACGCAGAGTGAGCGATCTGATTTTTTAGCTATAAACTGTGTCAGGGATCAAAAAAAAGCACATAAAGTATGTGAATCAAAGTATGTGGCGGAGACCCTTGGAAACATACTTTGATTTTCTTTTACTATACGGAGAACGGTCGCACTGCGCAGCTTTCTGAGTGCCTTTTAAAAGGAGATAGAAAACTCCGCCATTTTGAACCCTTATTACGTGTTGCCTACATCTTGGCGCAATATTTTTAATAGGTGCGTTTTAATCATCCGCTTCTGCTTCGGAATTGTCGGTTTTCTTGTTTTAATCTGACAGGTTAGAACGACTGAACCGACAATTCCGGAAGCAGAAGCGGATGATTAAGACGCATCTGATATTTTGCTTGCTGCTGTCAGTGTCAGTAAATATTATTTTTGGAGTTACAGTTTATTGCTAAAGAATCCGTTAGCTCACTCGGACCAGTTGAAAGTTCCAAAATAACATCCACTCCAGGGATACAAATCCAGGGCTGGTATTATGTGTCATGTAGAATTCTACTTATCGTTTTCTACAATAGAAATCGATTACTTTCTTATATACCACTACATTATCAGCTTTATTTGTTATCCCGAGCAATTTAAATGCATTCGTAATTGCTCATTCTCATCTCTTGTAGATTCCGTACTCAGTTTTCTTATTTTTAGTTACGTTTGCACTGCTCTTTTATTTTCACAGCTTTAATTCTATAATGCTGTAACGCTACAATATGGAGCCATTTTTGTGGTTTATACTATTTAATGTTATTCGTAAGTGACCAACCTATTATAATAATTAAAGATTATTGTATACAGGCCTGAAGATGTTTCTGTAAGGCCGAAACTAGTCGCTACTGTATTTATTTATAATAAAATTGATTTTAAGGTTTTATTCTTCAATTGAAAAAATTAGACCGTTACAGTGATTTTGTTTCATTTCCTGCATTAGACACATATAAGATAATATTCTTTTTAAATATAGTAAAATTAGCAAATTTTTTAGTTTTTTTTACAATTAAAACGTTTGGACAATGTGTGTTTTTATAGATAAATGATAGGCCACTGAACAAGAAGGATGTTTACCTTCCCCCTTGTGCCCGCTTCCTCACTTCCTCTACAGATGTTGCTAACACAACAATCGCCTACAAACTCGTTTTCACGCTCCCTCTATTAGTAATTGCTCGGAGGTATACATTTCGTAGCAGAAAAAATAAAAAAAATATAAGATGTCATTACTGACACTTCACGCTTCGCTTGTCAAAAACTTCGTCTTCAATTAATGAACGTGTCGATGTCAGACGTGTCAAAATTCAAAACGATACTAGCGCCATGAGACACGAGCGGATAAATCTCGAGTTACGTTCCACTTTTCATTGGTCGCGTCTGTTCGTCGTTTCATTGGACGGCTGGATGTGTGGCGGTATTTTTAAATTTGTATGATACTCGGTAAATTAACTCTTATGGCTTATACATAAGTAATATTTAACAGGCCTGTTCTTAAACTTTGATGTGTAGGAAGAAACATAATTGCACTTGTTTATTTTCTCTATTGATTTTTTCCAGACAAGGAATTCTAAAAAATAAAAAGGTCAAAACTTCAAACCTATATTATGTTTACCAAGTTTACCTTCTTCGTTTGAAAATTCCATCTCCTCACTTTCAATCCTTTTGTTATGCACCTCAGATAAATGATTTTTCAATCCCACATTATATCGAAAAGAACAATTACAGTTTTTTTCCAAACACTTGTACATAAATTTTAACTGATCGTAACAAACAGTCTTCGGTTTGAGATTATGTACTTTTTTCGTATGTTTATTTAAATTAGATTGATTGGAAAAACCTTTACTGCACACTAAACATATTACGCCCATTGTAAATAACTATACGAGTAATAGGTATTACTGAAAAATTAAAACCACTCCTGAAAACTAGGTACAGGGAGCACAAGATCTTCGACCTTCTTGAAACACGCATTTAATGAACCTTCAACCCCTTCAACCATTTCAAATTTTACTTTTCACATCACAACACAACCTCAATTATTTGACAACAAAGAACCAACACGATTAAAAAGAGATGGAACACGGAACGTAACTCGAGATTTATCCGCTCGTCATGAGACTACGCCTGACCGCTGCGTAACTCAAAGGCATTTTTTGAATCCCAGAGACATTACTACAGCTTTGTTCGCGGTAAGAATCCTGAATCGAATTATTACTAATGGTAATGATTTCGCAGGTGCAGTAGTTAAAAAACGTTCGCGGAACAAAAAGAACTGAACTATTGGTTCTAGCCTGCGTTCGCGGTAAAATTATTATTGGCAGAGACAATCCAGCGAGACGTGTAACTCAATGTATTTTTTTTGTTCGGTAAAAGTTATTTGGGCGATTGTAACCACAACCAGTCTATGATGGCGCCACTAGTAAATAGCGGGAAAATTAAAAATGCTTTAGGGCGGGAAATTCAAACATGGATTCAGAAATAAAGTTTTTCTATACAAATTTACAGGAGAAACAAAAACTATTGTTTCACTGTATATTAAAAAAATATAAAAGCTTCCAATAACATCAAATTTTTTATCACATAAATAATCATTTTAATAAAGGAAGTTTTAATCAGTTTAATATAAACAGTGAACATAGTTTTTATTACTCTTGTAAATTTCGCTAAAAAAAAACTTGAAAATTCTATTGATTATTAAATATTTAAACTTGGAAAAATAATACACCAAACTCTTTTTCTATAAATTATATTTTTGTAAATACAGAAAAACAAACTACAATTGCTTCGTTTAGAAAGTACCTCGTATCATTTTGTGACAAATTACAAAGAAAGTAACAGTTGTTATATATTCATAATATATTTAAAAACTAATGTAACAAATATTTTATAAAGTATAGTATCGATACCTTTTTGCCAGACTAACATAAGTGACATTTGTTCAAATGGCAAAAAGGTATGGATATGTTATGACTGTTTATTTTAATAGAAACCATGGAAACGAAACACATACACTCAACACAAATGTATAAGGCCCGAGTCAAGTAAGTTCCCATCCTGTAAACTGGATCGAAACCTGCTAACTCCTCTTATAGTAATCAAGATCAATAGATTTATATGCCATGCCTTCTAAAAGGGAATGAAGGATGACATACTATCATCATTTAAACAGGACGTTGCTGAAGGCTTACCTCTGTTATTTCGTTTGTTTGTGTATCTTGTGTGTGTGCATTCCTGTTGTGTCCCCAGTCATGTAAAAGTATTCCTAGTCTCCTAATTTGGTTACTAGGTGGACCTTCTCCAACTAGTAGTCTAATCTATTCAATCTGTTCGGAAGCAGGAGGTACTTTTCAAACATAGCAAATAATATTATTAATAATAAACACTATTTAAAGATAAATACATTTTTGTAATTGCCCCTTACCTTTCTCTTACACCACCAGGGTATACCTATTTTCCATATTCCCTTAATTATAGATTACCTTACAATGTTCGAATGAATATAACATTTTACTCATGAAAAATCTAATTTCATATTTAACTCTTTTTCAATTTCATTTGAAACAATAATTGGTACCTATATTACAATTTATTATCAAAGAAAATTTCTAATAAAGTTATAGCAAATCCTACTTAAACTACTGGTTGTTCTGCAGGATAAATGAACTTTTCTTGAAATTGATCTCTCTATAAAATCCAAAACCGACCTGATGTCCCCAAATTTATTTTCCAATGCATCCTGATTTAAAATTCTGCCCTTTTGTGATTCAATTTTTTTTTCTTCCTTTAGAGTGGCTGTTAGAGGTAGGTGTATGTAAGAAATAGCTAATCTCTAATCATTTCAAAAGTCCTTTGCCAATACTACATGTGCAGATTTTTTACTCAGCATACATTTTACTTTTCTAATAGATAGGAACTTTGTGCTGCCATTAAAGCTGTCCAGACATTCATCTACCTACTTAATGAACACAAGTAGCTGTAACAATGGATCTCTGTTCCAATTCACCTAAAATAATTATAGTCATTGTGTAATATATTATTAAACACACACATTATACAGTGGTTTTCTTAATAAATTGGAAATTACTTACCTCTAGAAAGAAATGTGTACAAAAACGCGAGTTTGGTTCCAGAAATTGCTTCATGCAAAAAATAATATGCAAAAATAAACATTCCCCCCCAAAGAAAATGAATTAAACAACAAAATCAGACTAAAAGAAATATACGGGGCCCAAATTAAATTAATTCTAATAAAATGCACATGTTCATAACAACATTCATAACATTGTTAGTTTTAATACTTTTAATCGATATTTCGACGTCAAAAAACCAGCAACACCAGCGCCCTCTGAAAATGGTGTTAGTTTTATTGGAGAGAGATAGACATATGTAAAGATCAATGTAAAAGAAAAAGAGGGTCATATATATAATTTAAATGGACCACCGAACATATTTTCCTATTAAGTTACACGTCTCTGTTGTCTCTGTTATTGGTTTTGAACCGCTTGTCTATACCTGAAACACCGAGATATAATAGGGATTGCGCGCGCAGTAAAAATTCATAATTGATCATGAATCAGGCATGCGCTCAAAGCATGGATTAGTAATTTTGAAACAGTTCAGGATTATTACTGCGAACGAAGCTAATGTGAGTGTACACATGATTGTAATATCTGGCATCGTTGCCATAGTAACGTGTTTTGTGTAAAAACAAATAATAGTTACTAACTTTATTTTCACGTCACGGCTATCACGGTCCGTTGTAGGTGTCAACTCCCTCTTCTTGGTCCAGTGTTCCCAACCAGTGATACATTTTTCATGTAAAGGGAATTTTTACTTGAAGGTAGTCGCTACCCTCAATCTTGGACTATCTTTTGTTTTGATTTTTCAGTACCTCTGAAGACTTTATTTCTTAATTTTTTTTAAATTTGTTTGGGTTTCATTGTCATTTAAATTAATCTTTCTGAGATCTAACAACAGATAGTAATGCCAGGCTTTTTTTAAAAACTATTTTCTGTTTTTGATTCTTTATGTTTTAATTTTGTGTATTTTATTTTAGTAGTAGTAGATATGTAATTTGGTATATTTTAATTTGCATATTGTATTTGTAAGTATTTATAATTTCAATTAATTACTATTTTTTTAGTAAAGTATTTAAATTTTTTATGGAAATGGCTGTTCCTCATGACAACTTATGTATCTCAAAATCCCTTTTAAATGAGGTGTTGCACGATCCTCTTTCTAATTTAAATTTTTTGCGGGTTTGTCAATTCATAAATTAAAGGGCGGTGAAAGTGAGGGGTAATTTTTTCATGAAATTTCAAACATCAATTATTTTTTTCAGAACTACGACTTCAAGAAACCAAGCCAGGCGTCTGCTACAAAATCCACACCCCCGAACAACCAAAGCTGTACCCCAATCCGCGGAAACCGCTCTACCCCAACCTTCACCAATCGTGCACCGAATGGATCAAACACGACAAAATGGACTGTCTAAGTCTTAAAACTCAAAACGACGAAGTCCTCATCTTATCCTGCATAGGAGTTAAGAACAGAAGACGTCCCGGTTGTTACAAGATCGTCAACAGAGACAAACGAGAAGAAATAGTCTGTCAAAAAACTGACAAAAAAGAGGGATGCAATGTTATTACAACAAGAACTAATCTTAATATAGTCGTGGGTTGTTTTCCGAGAGGTTATTCGCCGAGTTTGTTTGATGTTAGAACGAGAAAACCTCCTAGAGAATAAAATTCAGCTCTATTAGGAGAGGGACTGTATAAATCGGAGCGTTTAGTGGCCTCGAGAAGGAACTCTGGGTCATACCGAAAATTACGGATGATTAATTCGTCAAATATAAAGCCATATTATTTGATTGTGAGTCAGTAATGTGTGTTTTATTTGGATTTTGTAATATTTTTTGTATAATATTGTGCAGTTAGAATTTAAGGTAATAATATATAAAAAATAAAAGATGTATGATTTTTTTTAATTCTGTTATTGTTTTTACGGTATTCTTAGATTGAAAATTGAGTAATAAAATAATTTTTTCGGTTCAAAAATCAATTTTGAATAAAAATTCACTGAAAATGTAAAATACTTTTTAAATTTATCACCGTTTGATTCATTTTTTAATTTTATCTATAGAAACAAATTTATTTTGTAAGAAATATAATAAAATTCAGCTTTCTATTTATCTCTAAAATTATATCAGAATGGATAGCAATGATAGACCTTTCTTCAAAGATACAAAAGCTCGTCCAGGTCAATTTTATGATCAAACGAGGCCGCCTGCCTCGGTATTTAGATAGATTATAATGTATTTATAACACCTATAAAAACTTGCTACTTTTAGCAAACAGAGAGAATCATAAACGGCCAGATTGTATCTGAAAATTACCTGCGTATAATGTTCGAAAGTGAAAATATTATTTATTGATTTAAATCATGCATATGGCATGGTGGGTTTGATTTTTTAATAATATACCTAATCCTAAGTTATTTCTTTTTTTAACTGTGTTATAGAAGTCCTTAAAATCAACAAATTTTTCAAATTACTTTTTTCAAAAACTCAAACGAGAAGATAAAAAAATTAAATCATTTAAATCAGACCGTGGAATTCTGTTTCAAATAACATTTTTCAAAAAACTAAAACAAGAAGATAAATAATTAAAAAAATTAAATCAGAGACTGGAATTCTGTTTCAAAAATTAAGTTAAATCAGAAGTGTGTTTATAGTCGAGTTAATCTAAACCGCTAACTCGCTTATTTTTCGAAAAGAAAATTACCAAATAAAAACTTACGAAAGCTTCCTGGGGACACTTCTTTATAATTAAAAAAAATTATATTATCTCGCAATTGTGACTTATTACCTCACAATTGCGACTTATTATCTCGCAATTATGAGTTACTATCTCGCAATTGTTATTTATTATCTCACAATTGTGACATATTATCACGCAATTGTGAATTAGTAACTTAAAATAATTGTTACTTAATATCTCTCAATTGCGATTTATTATCACGCAATTGTGAGGTACTATTTCGCAATTGTGACTTATTATCTCACAATTGCGACTTATTATCTCGTAATTGTGACTTACCCAGATAACAATTATACATTCTTAGCATATTCTTAGTATATACTTTTTAGAAATACGCATATGCTGAGAATATACTTTATTTGCATTTGGTACATTTTCAGAATATGCGAAGCATATGTTACGTGACGTTGTTTATACGTGCTATGCAGATATTGAGAATGTACTTCAAGTATGTGTACAGTATGCAACAGGTATCTACTTTACTTTAATTGGTGTTAATTTTTACCTGCAAGCATTTAGAACATTCTCAGAATATGAGGTACATGCTGGGTGTATGACTTTTAGTATCTTCTAAGAATGTCCTGCTCAGTATATACTTTTTGGAATATACTTTCAAAGTATATTCTAGGTATGTTCTAAGAACATTCTAAAAGGATATACTAAAAAGAACTTAAACAGAACGTTCTTGGTATATTCATAGAACATTGATGTTATGTGGGTATTATCTCGCAATTGTGACTTATTATCTGACAGTTGTGAACCTGTAGAACCATGTATAAGGCTAAATAGTGCACCGTTCATTGTTATGTTTATCTTACGTAGAACCAGTTTTTTGAAAAAACTAATAAAGTTTGACTATAAAATATTGACTAGATTTAGAGAAAAATCAGTTGTTGGAAATTTGTGCAGAATGAATTCTAAATGGAATTAGATCTATCGATTACAGAAATTGCAAAATATATCATAATGTTTAGTTGCTATTTCTACAATCGATTTGTCCTTACTCTTCCCAGTAAATATTAATTTGGATATTTTCAGTATGAAACGAAGCTTAAACTTGGATTTATTTTATTAGGCTGTCATAGAAATGGTATAAAAATACTCCGGTAAGTTTTCCGGTGCTGATGAAAAACATAATATATTGTTTAAAGAGCAAGGAATGGTACTCATTTCCTACGGCAAGTTGAAAACTGTACTTTTTTCATGGCTATATTTGGGGAAAACTATACAGGAAACCATCATAATATCTTTTGAAAAAATGACACTTCGCTCAAAAAAATTATTTATTGAAAATAAAAGAAATATGTTTAAAATTAGTCAATTAATTTAAATTTAAAAATATTTTAGGTTATGAAGACAAAGTAACTAATTTTAAAATAATTTATGACTTTTAATAATGTTTAAAATAAAATAAACGAAAAAAGAAAAAGTTTATTTCATTTTTCCCCATCCGAGAATCGAACTCGAGCCTTCAGCGTAGAAGGCAAGACCGCTAATCAAAGGACCACATATTCTTTTTTTTTGCTTTAATACTTGTAATTAAATTGACTACATATAGTTTTATTTAAATTAACAAATTATTTATAATTATAGACGAAATAAAAACAGAAATGCTATTATTTATTGATTCTACACAAGATTAACCCATTTTATTGTATGTTTAATCTTAATAACCAAAAAATATACTGACAATTAGTTTAACAGAATTGTCACTTATTTAAAATTTTAAAAATAATAGCAGTCAGTTGATCAAAATATGAACGGTTATTGGTGGATTTAATTTTTTTTTCAGTGTTCTCACTATCTAGGATGGATATGAAATTTATTCGTTCAGTTGGAGGCAATAGCATACTTTTTCGTTTTGTAAGCTGTGCGTAGCTAAGCTAATATCCATGTGGGTATAGAAAAAGTGTTTTATTTTATAAAGGAATATTTGTTGTCGAAAATAACTTCCTTTTATCTGTTCATGCAAAGTAAATTTTAAAAATATGTCGGTAGGTATACCTATCCTGCCAATGAATAGAAAAACATTTTTGGTGAAAGAATTATTGATCTATGATTTACAGTTTGAGTGTTATGCATTTTTTCCGCATTGGGTCTCGCAATCATAGAAATAATATTTTTCTACACCCACATGGATATTAGCTTATCTACGCACACACTACAAAACGAAAAAGTATGTCATTGCGTTCAACTGAACGAATATATTTTATAACCATTCTAGGTAGTGAGAACACTGCAAAAAAATGAAATCCACCAATCACAGTTCATATTTTGGACCCCCACCTACTATTACATGTATTTGGTGTTAATTTTTACCTGCAAGCATTTAGAACATTCTCAGAATATGAGGTACATGCTGGGTATATGTCTTTTAATATTTTCTAAGAATGTCCTGTTATAACACGTGCTCAGTGTATACATTTTGGAATATACTTTTAAGGCACGTACTGAGTATATACTTTCTAGAATATTCTTTTAAAGTATATACTAGGTATGTTCTAAGAACATTCTAGAAAGGATATAATAAAAAGAACTTAAACAGAATGTTCTTAGTATTTTCATAAAACATTGATGTTATGTGGGTTTATTCAAACTATATGAAACTATTTTAATTACCAATATTAAAACCAAAATCGTAAAAGTGGCATGGACAGAGTACTTGATTTCCACGCGGAAAGCCGGGGATCGTTTCTCGGTTGGTGATTAATTTTTTTTCACATTTATTTTATTTTAAAAATCAGTAAAATTAATTAATTATTTTAAAATTAGTTATTTTGTCTTGATAACCTAAAATATTTTTTTAATTTGTAGATTTCCGTTAGTGGGTAGTCGTAGAAACAATATACTGTACAACTCGAGTGGATTGTCCATATCGTACTCAGACTCTTGAGCACTCTGCCTACGGCGTCGTACCCAAATTTCGTCTTCGTGTGATATGGCCATCATATCCACTCTTGTTACATAAACTACTATTTTCTATGCTCGCGATGCACGTCTCAACTTGTCTGGACGTTGAGTGCAGTTGCAATATCTAATAATAGAAGCAAGTCAGTGGCAAGTAATATCAGTGATACTTGTTCCTATGACCTTTAAATATCAGTGATTATAACCCATGATTTAGTGTCAATAGTGACAGCAAATGAGCTAAGGGTAGAAATACTAATATTCTATCGAATCTAACCATCCTTTTTCTTAATCTATTTTGTCGATACACAATAAATTCCTAATTCAAAACAAATTTAAAAGGAATTATTGACAATAATTTAGAAAATTTATTGAATATAAAAACTCAAATATTTCAAATGACATATATGACAAGTGACATTATTGACTTGCAAAATTGCCGTTTATCTATTATGGTCTCGTAGTCTAGAGAAGAAAAGAGTGAAGTAATTTAATTTGCAGAACGTAGTAGAGGTTCAAGAGGTATACATTTTATTTAAATCTCAGCCTTCAATGCTTATTTGTAGTTAAAATGAAAATTTTAATACATCTGATCGGCCTAATACAAATTTTCGTTTAGTTTTAAACATGTTTCCATGGTGTTTACTGCAAATAAACCTTTTCTTTTGACAGATAAGTCAGACTTTATTTATTCATAGCAGTATCGTATGTATTTTATTTGATTCGGAATTTTGTATTAGTAGGTAAGAAGGACTAAAAACCAAACAAACTTCATACAAGTGCGAAAAATGCAAAGCGTTTTATTTTTAAATTTACTAGATTGTTAAATTTTGCTTTTAATTTTGTGCTATAATTACCGTTATCACTTTGTTATTATTTGACCCAATGTACCTCATATATATTTTAGTTTATTTTTATATTATAAATTACCATGTATTTTAAACCCGGAAACTAATAAATAACCATTTAAACAATAAATACAATTAATTGCTTTTTAAATTATTTTTACATAAACTTAAAAAGTATGGCCATATTTTTAAACATCAAAAATTTGTAGGCCATCCACAAATTTTTGCTCCCCAGGTCACACTGTTAAAGATCCTTTATGCTGGCCGCGGTCTGGCCGCGGTCTGGCCTATAAAGCAAAAACGTTTTAGAATTATATATTATTCGCACGGCCCCCTAGGCTCAAGACCGTGTGAATCCTATTTAATGCACACGTCAGTTAACGTGTTAAGAAAAATAAACTTATTAAATCTGATGCAGTTTACATAATTATATGAATACCTAATGTAGTATTTTAGAATAGAGAAATTTTTGATCCCTGTGTAGTTAATAAATTTAGATCTCAATTAGTATCGTAGATATTAACTAGGTCTCTTATTAAATGTCAATAAGTATTAAAAAAAAATGAAACAATTACTCATAAAACTTAGAAGCCTACAGTTTCAGTAGTTTTTTAAATAACCATTCTGTTTGTAATTTATGGGAATGTATGATATTTTACAACAGTTTTTGTCTATAACGTCATTATATTAAGTTAATATAATTTTTCTACAAACATTATTATTATGACTATTCATACATTTGCTTTTGATTTTAGCAATTTAATGTTTAATGTAGTCCTTTATATTGGTTCTGATTTGTTTTCGTCTATATAAAAGCAATTTCCATACTTACTATGTAAGTTCTTGTCATTAATATGTTTACCTCCAAGATTAATAATATCCAAGGATGTGACACATTGTCGAATACTTTGGGTAAGTCTAGAAATAGGTACGGCAAATTTGTAGGAATGCAGCTAAGTGCCAAATTATAGAGTTTTGATGTTGTTTTTTTATAGGTTCTGCTGTAGATATTATTTTTCTTAATCCATGTTAATTACTCGAGATAATAGTTAGTTATCAAGGGCATTGTATAGATCATAACGCACGAAGAATGGCTCGATCCAAATCGAGGATGGATGTCGCCTGTATGACATTATTTTTTTATTACAAAAAATAAGATTTTTATTTTTAATAAATATACAGGGTGGTCCTTAAGTAATTGTACATAGAAGTATGTAACTTGCTTTAATAAAATGTTGCTAATAAGGAATATACAGGGTGTTAAAGGTTAAATTTTAAGATTTCTTTTTTGCAATAACTTTAACGTTTTTGGATATATATACATAAAAATTTGGGAATAGAGGTTTTTGGGCACGAAAAATCATAATCTGGTACCTACTTCGATGTAATTTGTAGAGGGCGCTACATAGGCTACATTTGTGTCATAAATGTGCCCTAAATTTTTTTGCTGTTTAAGTTAGCGGTATTTTTGTAAAAGAATATTAAAGCCACGTTATTTTAATAGAAGAAAAGTATACTTGTTATTAACCTTAAAACTTAACGGTTTACGATATAATCGCATTTTAGGGATCAGCTGCATGATTATTATTTTAAACATTTAGAAAACAAATAAAAAAAAAATGCCAAATAACATTATAATTTTAATTGTGTCACATTAAATGTTCGATATGTCCTCCATTCTTGACGATGCATTAACTACACGTTGCATAAAAGATCGTCTCATATTAAACTTGAAAATTTGTAATTCCTTTTGAGACTTTATTTTTAGTACAATTTTTGTGAAATTTTCAAGAAATATCAATAATAACAAAATTTACGACGGAGAAACCTTGAATTTTTTGTAATTTTTCGAAAAGTATTTATTTTGTATTGGTGAAAAGGTTGATAGTCAAAAACAAAATTTGTAACCTGTCGAAAAGTGATTTGGTATTTGAAATAGGTGTCAAATCATAACCAAGAGACAAAAAGTGGTTTAATTGCCTTCAAAATGTTTTTTTCTCAACTAAAAGTATAGTCCTTGCAACAATTATTTTTTATTCACTGGTTCTACCCCATTCACCATATATTATACTATTCTGACATTTTTTCTAGAAAACTCGAGGTGAATAAAAGATTGAATGGTTGAACTATCATTAATTTTTCATATAGATTCACAACTTTAAATATTCGCAAATCATTAAGGCAAAATAAAGTTTGTAATATTGAAATGAAAAATAATATTTCGTTCTTTCTAAAATGTTTTCACGATTATAAAATGACATTTTTTAATACTAAAAATAAATGTCAAAAAATGTTTTCAATAGAGTTTAATATTTTTGTTTGTTTTTTATTTCTATTCTTATGTTTAGCCTAATAACAGTACCTATCTAGTAACTTTAGTATTTCAGTATATAATATTGGTTTAGTTATTTACTTACCTGTTGTATTTGTTTTTTGTAAATAAATCTTCTTCAAATTATTCATACCTACCTTTACAGATGTAAAAAAATATAAAAAGTGTAGTTTTTGAATGCCTTCTACCTAATATATCTAAAACCTTAAGACAAATACAAATAATTGTTTGTTTCTGGATACAATAAAAAATTTGTGTAATCTAGAGATATTTGTAATTACTCTTAAAATGTAAAACCTTTTATATTATGTTTTTTTATAATGTCAATTTACTCTTTTTAAATATTATGTTCTAAAGCATTAATAAATTAATTGATTAAAATATAATTTAAACTTCTTAGCTTAAACCTTCAAACTTGCCAATTAATATTTTTGATTACTTTTGTCACAGCTAATTTAGCAAAGTAAATAATTTTCCAAACCATTTTAACTTACTTTATATTTAAAACATTTGCCTATTGTTAAACTTAATTCTTTTGGGATGGTATATCAATATTAAATAATCCATTTTAAAATTATTTTTGATAAATGTCTATTTATTAAATATAACTATAACAACTTTTTTATATAATTTACTGAATTATTATTATCATTTATCTTTTACGAAAAAAAGTGAAATCAAATTACGTTTTAATATCCTTTAAAATTTTGTTTAATTATTTTTAAACATTTGGTACATTTAGCAATCACTCCTTTTAAACTAGTATAAATATAAACATACAACTATTTAAATTAAAAACACATTTACTTAAAAAATACTTTATACAAACTTAGATCCGAATTTACTTACTCTAAAATATAATAATATAAAAAATATGTACAATTTTATCACAGAAAAAAAGTATACGTAAATCCCAGGCACCCAAAAAAGTCTCTATTGTTCACCAAGGCCTCCAAATTGAACTTTTCTCTACACCCGAATTTTTCTGGTTGTTGGAATAGTTCTTATAATTATTGGAATTTCCACCGTAACAACACTGTCCACCGCTGCCAGTTTTTGAAGAAGCAGTAACGTAATTTTGACTGTAATATTTTTGCGAAGAATAACTACTGCTGTAGCTGCTAGGTTGATAGTAGCTGTTCGATTGTTTTTTCCTGATATTTTGCAAGTAACTTACAGTCATTTCGAGAATATCAGCCTTCTCCAACTTGGCACTTTTTTTTCCAACACTCTGTGGATCGCACTCCATTAAAATGGTTTTTAAATTCTCCAAACTTTCGTTGATCCTGGCTCGTCTTTTTTTCTCCATCAAAGGCTTTCTTTGTTTTCTATCATCCGAAGAAGCACTTTGATTCTGCATTTTGGACTACAATACTATCAAAATTTTTCAATAAAAAACACAACTACTTGTCAGTGAGACTTTCTGATTAGAAATGGTGGTAATTTCTCTAAAAATGAAAATAAATAACGTCCACCCCACTCTGGAAGGTGGTCAGCGGGCATAATAAAGATATATTGGGGGTCGGTCTTAATTTTATGGCACCCCGGTATACAAAATGTAATAATTGACCTTGGTAGGTATGAGTTCAAGCTGAAATTGTGTGATGGTTTAATATTTTGGGTACTTCGGGAACGCATGAATTGTCTGACGAAGATAAAAATTAGTTACAGTGGACGGTATGGATGGCTGTGAAAATTCGATTTGGTTTTTCTGGGAATTTTTTTCTGTGCTTCTGGGGTTTTTTGTCTACCGAATCGTCACCGCAACATTAAAGGGTAATAAATCAGTGTACGCAGTTACCTTTGAATGATAAAAGAACGTTTAAGAAACTATAAACAAATATTGCAACGAAAATCGTCAGTTTAAATTATAATACACAAGGTTTGATCTAAGTCTGACTTACTTGAACTTATAGTATGTGTTATTGACAATACAATCTCTGACCACAGAAATTGCTATGTGAAACCAGCAACAAAATTTCTTTTTTCTACACCCACATGATAATTAGCTTATCCACGTACAGGCTACAACACAAACAAGTATGCTATTACGTTCTACTGAATAAATATATTTCATATCCATTCTAGGTAGTAAGAACACTGCAAAAAAATGAAATCCACCAACCACAGTTTATATTTTGGTCACCCTACTACTATTATCTTTAAAATTTTATATAAGTGACGATTCTTTCAAACTAATTGTCAGTATATTTTTTAGTTAGATTGCGTTTTTATTTTTATTTCGTCTATAATTATAAATAATTCATTAATTTTAATAAAACTATATGAAGTCAATTAAAGCAAACATGTTGAGCATCTCGATGGTGGTGGGGTTAGAGTACTTACCTTTCATGCGAAAGACCCGGGTTCAAATCTAGAATTTGGACAAATCAAATCTATTTTTCTTTTTTTCTTGTTTGTTTTATTTAATAAATTATTTAATGTCAAATTATTTTTAAATTAATTATTTTATGTTAATAACCTGAAATATTTTTTATTACTCAGATGATTGAGCAATCTGCCTACGGCATCTTACTCAAATTTTGTCTTCTTGTGGTATGGGCATCATATCCACTATTGTTGCACAAACTACTAATTCTACGCACATACCGCAAAACGAAAAATTATGCCATTGCGTTCAACTGAACGAATATATTTCATATCCATTCTACCTAGTTAGAACACTGCAAAAAAATGAAATTCACCAATTACAGTTCATATTTGAAGACATGAGTGGATAAAGGGCCTATGTCGCATTTTTTAAAAAAAATTACTCTTTGTGCGCTAGAAGTTTAAAAAATGGTAAATAACTTTCCTACAATGTTTCGGCAGGATCTGATATTAATCATAATAGTATTCAGAAGATAAAGGGTCTATTATTGTGCAGTTGGTACTGTATCTAGTATAAAGTATTTTTAAAGGACTCTGTGAAATTCAAAGAAATCTAAAATAAATAATCTTTAATAAATAGTGTGTTACATATGAAAAACAGAATTATTGAAGAGGTATGTGTTAGAAATAATAAAAGAAATATCAGAAGTCCTAATTACGAAATACATTGTAATAATATATTAAAATCAAATATTAATATCAACTAATCAGGACTTTTTGTGTTAAATACTTATGGGTATGGATCAACTACACACATAAATTCAGATTTAAATATATTTTACAAGCGCAGATATGGAAAAAACTGATGAAAATATAACGCTGCAGACATTGCATAAAGAAATTATTAACCGAAACTCTGAGATAAAAAACCTTATACTCGCAAGCGAAGCTAAAATTTTGCTTACATTAGAGGATCAAAAACAACAAATAAAAGATCTCGAACAAGAAAATTGTATACTTAAAGAAAAAATAGAACACCTAGAAAGAGAAAATAAAAAGAAACATTTGGTAATATATGGGCTAAATAAACCAGATTCTGGTTTTGCTGTCAAAAAATTGTGTGAAGATTTAAATAAACTACTAGATCTAAATATATCCGAAAACGATATTGGCGATTGTTATTCTTTGGGAAAGGCTACAAATTGTCCTATTAAGTTGGAGTTATTATCACAATTTAAGAAAACTTTATTACTCAGAAATACAAAGAAACTTAAAGGTACCAAAGTCTCCATTTCTTATGATTATACAAAAATCCAACTTAAGGAACAGAAACTACTAAAGGAGAACCTAATTAAAATAAGACAGTAATACACCTCTACTGTAAGTTACATAAGACATAATAAGCTATATATTGACAATAAACCTTATAAAAGAGAAGATCTGTCTGACTTTGAGGAAAAGGGAGACGAGGACGAAGAAATAGAGGAAGAAAGACATAGAAGTGATCCTGGAACACCTACTGTCGAAAAATATAACACGTCCAAATCGAATAACCAAAAAACTATTTTAGTAAATACAAACATTCAGCAAATGCCCAAACAACAGACTCATCCAAAACCACCAACACCCAGAGAATCAAAACAATACCAACAAGGAAACCAACATCAACCTTCAAATCAACCTTCAAATCAACAAATACAACAACAACAACAACAACAACAACAACAACAACAACAACAACAACAACAACAACAACAACAAAACCAAAACGCAAAGAGCGAGAGATACTGATCCCAATCTCGCTGATGGTTTGAAATCACTTTTGACAGATATTTGCCAATGGTCTTATTCATTCGCTCTACCATTCCATCGGATTGTGGGTGCAAAGCTGTGGTTCTGGTTTTCTTCATGCCTAGTCTGTCACAGATTCCGCGGAAAAGTTGACTTACAAAATTTCTGCCTTGGTCACTGTGGATCTCCAAGGGCACTCCAAATCGACAAATAAACTCTTTTATCAATACATCTGAAACAGTTGCGGCCTCTTGATTTGGAATGGCGTAGACTTCCACCCACTTTGTAAAATAGTCCATAACCACCAAAATGTATTTATTAATATCCTCGGTCGCGGGGAATGGTCCAGCAATATCTAAATCGATCCTCTCAAATGGGCTACCAACGTTATATTGCTTCATGGGAGTCTTTCTTTTTCGTTGAGGTCCATTACTCATAGCACAGGTGGTACATTTCTTACACCAGTCCTTTACATCATCGGAACTGTTCATCCAGTAAAATCTTTCCCGAACTCTCTGAAGGGTTTTCCTAACACCGAGATGCCCTCCTGATGGACTGTCGTGTAACTGACGGAGTACTTCAGCTACTCTACTTCTTGGAATGACTAACTGTCTTTTGTTCTCGGAACCATCATCATTTTCAAGGACTCGCTTTAATAAGCCATCTTCCAGGATAAAGGAGTTTCACTGAGCCAAATACGACTTAAGTACTGGAGAGAAATTAAATACTTCTTGCTAAGTAGGTCGACGATTTTCCTTTTTCCATTGTCGCATCTTCTTTAAAACGGTATCGCTCTCTTGTTCTTCCCTAATTTTAGCAGGGGCCCACTCATCGTTGACTACAGTTGTTCTTAGTAGTCCACTTTCTTTGGATTCCGCTTTGTTACAGTGGGAGCACACTGCTGGACATGGTCTTCTAGAGAGAGAATCAGCATTTCTGTGACTTATTCCGGCTCGATGTTCAATCTTGAAGTCGTACTCTTAAATCGTTCAATCCATCTGGCGATTTGACCCTCCGGGTTCTTAAATTGCATCAACCACTTGCATGATCGGTCCGGATTAAAAATTTCCTTCCGTACAGATATTGGTAGAAGTGTTCCACGCATTTTACAACTGCCAGGAGTTCTCTTCTTGTGACGCAGTAATTTCGTTCAGGTTTCGAGAGTACTTTACTAAAATAACCTAGTACTCTTTCTTTTCCTTCCTGAATCTGTGAAAGCACTCCTACAATTCCCACATTACTGGTATCATGAAATAAAAAAAAATAGTAACTATTCTAAAAATCTTTGGAACATTGTAAACAGGTCGAAACAAGAAGAAAATATTAAAAACGTAGAGGAAGTGCTTGCTCAAAATGGATCATCTAATAGGGACAGCAAAAGCATTGCAAATCGATTTGTCCAACATTTCACTGATCTAGGAGAGACGTATACTACTAAAATTATTAAACCACAAACACCACCGAAAAATAAATCCATTTTACAATCATTAGATCTCTCTCAGGTTACTGGTGGAGAGATAAATAGAATTATAGAATCTTTAAAAAGTAAAAAGGCACCAGCAATAGATGGTCTCACAACCGAAATAGTAAAAAATATAAAAAATGAAATTATCCCTCAATTAGTTAACCTAATAAATCACATTTTTAATACTGGTGAATGTCCAAATCATTTTAAAGTGGCAATTATATTACCAATTTACAAAAAAGGTGATAGGAATAATGTTTCCAATTATAGACCAATCTCTTTAATAACTACACTTACTAAAATTTTTGAGAAAGCTTTAAAAATACGTTTAACAACTTTTTTCAATAAACATAAATTAATATCTAAATGCCAATATGGTTTTCAAGAAGGCTTATCTACGAATGTTGCGATTGCCGAATTAACAAAGACCATCTACAAACTCGTTGATGATAGGAAACCAACAGCCTGTGTATTTCTAGATCTCGCATAGGTATTCGATACTGTTTGTCATAAACAGTTGATAGACAACAGACAACAAATAGTTAAAGTGAATGATGTCTTTAATGAATATAAAACTCTTCATTATGGATTACCACAAGGCACCGTTCTGGGTCCTCTATTGTTTAGTGTTTATATAAATGGCCTCTTCAGTATTGAACTGAAGGTAACATAATTAGTTTTGCTAACGATACCGCCATTATTTATACAGCTGAAAATTGGGAGGATCTAAAAAGAAAAACAGAAACAGATTTAGCTAAAATTATTGACTGGTGTAATCATAAGAAATTAACTGTTAATTTTAAGAAAACCCATTTTGTTACTTTTTGTAGTTATAAATCCTCTCTAGCATTCTTTAATGAAATACGGATTCAAAACCATCAGAATGCAACTATTAGGTCAGTGAATGAAATTAAATATTTAAGAATAAAACTAGACTCGCATCTTAAGTGGAATGCCCATGTCGGAAGATATTGCTAGATCTTTAAGATGCCTTCTTTCAAAATTTAAATATCTTAAAACATGTCTAGATGTTCGTCATTTGAAAATAATTTATTATTCTTTTGTTCAGTCGAGGTTAAATTATGGTATACTTGGATGAGGCGAAATTCTTCAAATCCATCTGAAAAAAATTGATGTTTTACAAAAAAAAATATAAAAATCATTTTAAATAAAAATTGGACTTACCCTTCAGATTCTTTGTTTATTAAAAGTAAAGTGATGGATATTAGACAGTTATATACATATACTGTCTTATTATTTATATACAAAAACCGCACTTTCCTAAAAAACATAGATCACAATTATTCTACCAGAAATAAATTAAATAGTTATGTAATTACAGAGGCTAGTAAAAAATCTGTAGGTCAAAGATATGTTACATATCTGTCTGGAAGAATATACAACTTTTTACCAAATATATATAAAATTTATTTAAAAACCATTCAACCAAGCTGAAAAAAAATATTTTTAAGAAATTTATATTAAATTGTGAGAGAAAAGACATACATGACCTGATAGAAAAATAACTTTACTCCAGTTGAAATTATTACTAGTAATAAAATTGTTTTTTGAATATGATTTATATTTTATGTTAGGTTTTTATGTACATTTACGTTATTTAAGTGTATTTAAATTATTCCTTTTATTAAAATTGTTTTTGTATATGATTATATTTTATATTAGGTTTAGTATATAGTATTACTATAATTTATTTATTGGGATAAAGAGCATATGTACAAATAAATGTTCATAGACCCCTTATCCATTGAAAACTGATATCATTATATTTTGTTTGTTTTTGAAAACAATTACCATGTTTTACCAGTTGTAAACAGGCGTACGTCATCCAGGCACACATTAATAGTATTACTTGTTTTTTCTTGTAAGCTTCAGTCTATATTTAGTACCTATAAACATATGAGCCCCTTATCCAGTCAAACGAATTAGTGGATAAAGGGCTTATGTACTTTATTTTTTTTTGTAAAAAACTGAATTTATATTTATATTATAAATATATTTTCAATAAATACACATTTATAGGAAAACAGCTGTTTTATTATAGCTCTTCTGTGTTAAAATTAAGCACAAAAATCTGATGTGTCCAACACATGACTTTCCTATCTGAAGGGGACCCCGTAGTCGGCGCCTATGTATACCCTGTATACTACTCCACTGTAAGGTTTTAATTTAAAATTTATATTTTTGCAGCAAAATTCAAGGTCTCTGTCCCAAAAAAGGGTAATAAAAAAGTGCCATAGTAAAGGATTGAAAAAAGGATTGTCGGCTGTTTGCCAAAAGTGTTTTTAACCCCTTTACCGTTTTTAATTTCGCAATAAACAAACCCTTGTGTACCGTTTTATGGCTATAGCAAAAAAATATTACGGTTGTCTTGATTACAGTTACAGTTGGTTATTTTTATAGATATTGTCGATTTTTATAACGGGTTATGGATAGGGGTAATAAAAAATGCCGAAGAAGAGTTATTTGCCACAAAATAACTGTATACCTACACCTACAAAGGCATTTCAGTCGTAGAAAAATGTTTTTGGCTACAACAAATCGTCAGGGTTGAAGCATGAGTCATTTTTATTGTAAATATTTATAGCCAAGTTTCATAAGTGACCTAAGAACAATGTATTGGTTGGTAAAAGTGCACAATTTTGGGACCGTATTGATTTACATGAATTATTAGATTTACAAAGCATTTTTAAATCGTTACCAATATTTAAAACTTTAAACTAGAGTTGGCCGATGATGTGAGTTTTCAATGACACTACGATCAATAAAATTCAAATAAATGAGGACATATATGTCCTTAAATCATTACCACATTAAATATTGGGTGATATTTTACTAGAAAATATACGAAATTGACAGAAAAACATACAAAGAATGTCAATTTGCCAAGATTAAAATATTATATAACGGTTATTGAAATATTGCATAACTTAAGTAAGTCTTGATGAAAAAATTAAACTATACAATAGTAAAATTAGAAAAACAAATAGTTTAACAGAGCTATTACCATTTCTTTAACGGTTTAGGCATTTTAATTTTTTTTAAATTTCACCTCACACTGAAGACTGACACAATCAATTAGTTATGAAAAAAACTATTCGGTAATGAAAATTACTGAATTTCTGAATTACTGAATACACAACAAATTAAACAAACGACTAACCTACAAAAGAATGTTGATTGATATGTTGCCAACCTTTAAAAGTTAATTTCCCCTGTACATTAAGTTTTAATCTTATTTGCTCTTGGGTTATTTCGTGTTATTCCGTTGACAATATAAATAACTAGAATTTAAGTCACTGACTTCTTATTGTAAAAATACTAGCTTTGTAACTGGTTTTTTTGACATCTGTCAATTGTCAATGTCAAGAAAATGTCGCTATCTTCTTTTCTGTTCTAAAGTAAAAATTTAAAAATAGTTTGATAATAAGCGAAAAATCATTTTGTCTAAAAAATTGATGCCAGTCTTTAAGCAAGAAAAGTTGATACAATGATATACCAGTTGGACTATTAAAAATGATCTAAAACTAAAAATTACCGAAAAAACATGGTGGGATACTATTAGTACTGATATGAGGGTAAGGAAGAAAATTCACTTTGTCTAGTCTAAAAATGAAGCTCGATATGATGTTTGGGAAATCTGTAGAGTCCGATTACAATTAGAAGAACACAGCTACGTCATCATTTGGCAAAGTAATTAATTGGTTATCGCCGTCTACTGGGGGTTTAGTGAAGTGTTATTATAGGAAATATTGTTTTTTACCTAACAACTTACTTATTTTTTATTAATTGATAGTTATAGATAATATGTATTCGAAATTCAAAATAATGGTTATGACGTAGTTCTTCTAATTGTAATTGGACCCTATCGGCATTCTTTAAAACTAAATTCGATGAATAATAGCTACGTAGTTATAGATTGAAAACAATAGACAAATTTTTTCTGTTTAAAAAATATTGGTTTATGTTTTTCAGGTTAAATTTCAATAGTATTTACACACAGTACCCACAATAAATTATTCAGTAGAATACTCAAAGTAAAATAAACAAAATCATAATATAACTTTTTTTAAAATTTTATAATAGTATAGGCGGTAGTAAGAAATTAATGATATATTTGAAATAAATCAATATATTGAAAAGACTATGTTTTGTTATGTTGTACTTTAAATTATTAATAAAATAAATTTAAAAATTAATTTAAAGAATTTCCATAGAATATTATGTAAATCTTTAGTGGCATGATTAATTATATCCATAGCAAACAATCGAGAGTCAAGAGAGTGAATTATTAGGAAATTTGATAGATATTTATGGTTTAAAATACCAGTAGTTCATTGGTTGATTTTAGGAATCCAATTGAGTATCAGAATATAAGTATATTAAACTCTTGAAATCAGGCCACGCTTGCAAAAAGCTTGATATACCAAGCTTTCTCAAGTCAAACTTAAAGAAATTAGTATATTATATGCAAAGGTACACTGGTAAAAAATTATTTGTTAAAAAATATAATACATGGAATAATTATGTTGAAGGATATAATGACCAATGCGATGTAGACAATGTACAAATATTAAGTGTTCTGAAATAAAAATCAGACATAAGAAGGTTCATATTTAATGTATACCGAACCTACTGATAAATTAACCGAAAAAATCGCAGTGACTAAGAAAACTACGTATCTCCAATACGGAATTTATTTTTTCATTGTTTTCTCGGAATAATTAAGTAATAAAATATACTGTTAGAAAAAAAATAATGAAAATAAAAATCACTACCTACATTAACAGATTGAGATTGCACATATGTATATATAGAAAAAAATCAAACGAAGGTCAAGATAGTCATGATTATGAACTTATGAAGTCATTAAAGTAAAACAATTATTTATAAAATCGAAGATCATCATCTAACAGACATTCAAAAGTTGGCGTGAAAGTCAGTAGTTATTCGTGCTCTATTGTGTTTGAAAATGAATCACTTTTCAGTAATTGTTTTGTTTTTGTCTTTGGGTTGTACATTATCTAGGGGTAAGTTAAAAAGTATCTGCGATTTAGCAATAGGATTTTCTTCCTTGGATATCTTGGATTTAATAAATTTGCACATTTTTTGATAAGAATCGTGTGAAAATTTTCTGTTAACTGTTAAAATCGCTGCCATATTGGATAATATTATATCCAAACAATAATGCATGTAATGAACAACTACCCATCAACTCCACTAATTTTCTCACACTCATCCTGCTTCAATTTATCCGTAAGAATATTTAGTTAGTTTTTCCCAGTACCTACAACCTTTTAACGATGTAACTTATAAGTTTTTGTCTACATGTGGATGATCATCTGCCTATATCATTATTAATTTTCGTCTAAGGTATGTTACTCACTATTTTTCACTGTAATTTTGATATGAACCATGTTTTTTCCCTTCTATTCTAGGTCTGATGAAGGCTTTTTAGCCGAAACCGATTGCCTGCCTGTATTAACATTACTCAGTTAACGATTAGTTTTTAATTAAAAAAAAAATTAATTTGTTTGGTACTGATTTTGAGTAATTTATTTTCGTTTACAAATTATATATTTTTTTAATATGAAAGCTCTGTTTAAATCATGTGATTCCAGATTAATTGGATTGTTGTATTCATTTCATATAAAATGGTATGGTATTTTATCTCTTTTAAACAAGACTTTCATGTTTTTTATTTTTATAAATTTCATAAGTCCATAAGAAAGAAAAATTGTTCTATTGAGTAAATTTTTATCCCCATTTTTTCTGGTAGAGACTAGACGTGTTTTATATCACTGTGATATATCTTAATAAAAAAAGAAGTTAAATGTGCATATTTTTAGTTTAAATTTGTATTGAAATAAGTAGAAAACTGAAGCGAAAAAGGTGAGCGGATTGTTTTTTTTTTATAAAATATTAATCAGAAGTAGAAATTAGGTAAAACCATATGCAAATCTCAAAATCCACGAAAATAAATAAATATCTTGCTTGCTTACTTACTTATGGTTTAACTGATATCTTCAAATAGTACAGTCAATACAAATTAAAATAATGAACGAAATTTCTAATAAAGATTGCTCTCAAAATTAGAAGCACTAATGAACGAAAATACAACTCAAATAAGAAAAGACATACAAAATTTGAATGATTCACTTAGCCAAAAAACTCCAAATCTTGAAGAACACTGTAAAGAAGTTGAAAAAAAGAATAACATATATAGAGAGATCCAATAAACGTAACAATATTTTCATATTTGGTATTAAGGGAATAAACAATATATACTAGCAATAACGATCAACAAATTAAATCAAATGTTTAACAGTGGGCTGGAAGAACGCGACATAAATAACATACACGTAATTGGACAAAAAGACACTGTTCTATTGGAATTCGTATCCTTTCTACAAAAACAAAAAATATTAAAGGATTTGAAGAAGTTGAAGGGAGCTGGGATGTCAATAGCAAACGACTTAAGACCCAAAGACCAGGAAATTAAAAAAGTAATGATTGGACACCTAAAAAAGCCAGGGTTAATCAGCAAAAAGCAGTAATAAAAAACTTTAAACTGTACATAAACGATACCCCACATACAGTAGAAGAATTGGAAAATAACTCTGAAACAGAATTTGAAATTAGTCTACCACAGAAATCTGCAAGTGCTCCACCAACACCTATTCTAAATAAAGAGGTAGAGGTAGAACTAGAAGAAAACGTTTTTTCACCTCCACCACTTGTCCCAGTTGCTACAAACGATCAGGTCCCAAAAACGGAACCCCAACTGAACCAAGGAAGAGTTGTGAAAAAAATTCCTGTTAATGCCACTCCTACTCCAGCAATTTTACAACGAAGAGACGCACGTCCACAGCGCAAGACCTCGGCAAAATAGGAAAAAAACAGTTTTACAAAATTCTAGGCTTCATAAAATTTATAAACATTTTTTTTACCTAGGAAAATACTTAAGTCTATATTTTTAATAATTATCAAAAATTTATAAATTTTAAACTTTATTGCCTCGCCTATTAAATTTTTTATCTGATAATCTATTAATTATCTACCATAGATTAGATTAGTAAGTTCCACTATAAACTGTTATTTTTTTTATTTTTTTATATATTCCAAATATTTGATAATAAATAGATAAATGTACCTAAATCATTTTTCTTAGGTAGGTACCTATTTAGTTTTTAACAAAATTTGATTAAATTAATTAAAGCGATATGCCCATTTATTTGCCGGAGGTATTGATCAAATTAGTCAACCAATTTTTATATAAATATTAATCATTTTGATCTTGATTTAATATATATCACAATAATTCAAAATGCTAGTGACTAAAAACTATATTAAACACGAGAAAATGGCAAATTTAAAAATTATAAGTAGCAACATTAGAAAATTATACAAACATTTTGATGAATTTAGTATAATATATGAAAATATTAATATAGAATTTGACATTGTATGTTTTTCAGAAACATTTCAAATAACAATAACAAAGAAACTTTCAAATACTCCTAAAAAATTACCAAAATAGGGTTAATTAATTCCATAAAACTTAAAGTAATAATAAATGACAGTACTTTTCTAATTACATGCCTATATGGACCTCCTTCAACTAGTATTGTTAATTTTAATTTGCTTTATCTGAAGAATCAAAAAAAAAAATTTGATTTTTATATAATTTCCGGCGATATCAACATTAACCTTTTCATCAAAGAAGTTGAAGTCATTAAGTACACAAATATTTTAAGCGAAGAAGGATATAAATCACTTATAAATAAATTCACCAGGGTTCAAGATATTACTAAATCCTGTATTGATCATATATTTATATTAGATAATACCAAAGACGACAATGAGTATATTCATCTTGTATTAGAAACATCAATTACAAACCATTTTATAACTCTGGCACAAATATTACCTGTGAAAAAGAAAAATTAATATTAAATACAAACGATATTATTAAAAAATATATAAACTATAACTTACTAAAAACTAATTTAAATCAGGAAACCTGGAACTTGGTCTTATTTGAGAACAATGTCTGTATTGCTACTGAAACATTTATTAATATTATAAAAACCAACTTAAGAAAATAAAAATATATAAAAACAATGAAAGAAAACGATCGCCGTGGATCACAACACAAATGCCTTACTTCAATCATCAAAAATAAAAGATAAACTTTACAAAAAAATTAAATAACATAATACTATAGACAACATAAGAATATAGACGGTATAAAAACCATTTAAGGGATTTAATTTGAATTGCTAAAACAAATTATTATAGAAATTTGATAGAAAAAAAGGATTGTAACCCTTCAAAGCTGTGGAAAACTGTAAATAATGTTATGCACCAAAGTCACAAATCTAACATTAAAAAAATCACTCTTGACAATGGTGAAAAAATGTTTGATAAAAAGCTAATAGCGAATTAATTTTGTACATTCTTTTCTAACATTGGCGGTAATTTAGCAAGAAAAATAAAACCCACTAATAAAAAAATAATTCCAAATTCTTTTTTTTTACCCAATACAAATGAGAAAGAAATTTTAGAAACTAATAATTCCCTCAAAAATAACAGAGCTCCAGGCATTGATGATATTCGCGCTGAAGTAATAAAAAAAAAAAATATCGAATAAAATAGTAAAACCTTTGGCATATGTAATGCACAAATCGTTTGAGGGCGGAGTATTTCCAACACCATTTATAATAGCTATAATTAAACCTTTATTCAAAAAAGAGGAGAAAGATAATATGCCGAATTATAGACCTGTATCCTTTATAACAAATTTTGCAAAAAATTATGAAAAACTTTTGAAAATAAGAATCATCAATTTGCTGAATAAATATAACATCATTTCTAATGATCAATTTGGTTTTAGGGAGGGGAGGTCTACGCAAGATGCTATAGCGAAACTCACAAAGAATATCTATGAAAATATTGATTAGAAAAAAGCATCGCTCGTAGACCTCGCTAAAGCATTTGATACAGTTAGCCACTCAAAACTGATTGAAAACCTGGAAAATATTGGTTTTAGAGGGAGAAGCTATGATTTATTGTTCTCATATGTAACAGATAGAAAGCAAGCCGTGGGAATTGAAGAAACAGTGAAAAAAAGAAAGTGGTGTATGGTGTTCCGCAAGGGACCGTACTAGGGCCAATTTTATTCAATATATACCTTAATAGCTTATTTTCTGTTAATTCTAATGGCATCATTATCAGTTTTGTTGACGATACCACGATTATTTATGAAAGAACTAACTGGGTATCTTTAAAACTATTAGTTGAAAGGGTATTACTTCATATATTTCATTGGTTTCAACAAAACTTACGGTAAATTTCACTAAAACAATCTTTGTTCCATTTTCATGATAGTCCAATGCTTTACCAAACTACAACAAAATGATTGTCACATAAATAAATTAAATATTACTCAAAATGGCTCACAAAGATTTTAATAAAAAAACCGTATACTTACCCAACATAACAGCTCTTCGAAGAGAGTAAATTCTTTGATGCTAGACAACTGTTCTGTCAAAACCTTCTCATATGCCAGCATCACAACAAGAAAGAACTAAAAAAAAAGGAATACGATTATAATACTCTTTCAAGGCTACATACTTTTATCTTACCTAAAGTAGACAAATCAAACACGCAGAGAAGTTTTTGGTACATGGGTCCGAAATTATACAAAATAAAAATTATTAATTCTAAAATATTTTATAAAAAAAAGATAAAACAGTGGATATTACAACACTCTCGACTAACTATACATGCAATGATAGAAAATTACTTTATTTAAAAAAAAAAACTAATATTCTCTACTTTGTCAAAAAAAAAAAAAAAATTATATACTCACCTTAAAAAACTACTTCATTTTCGTGAAAAACACAGGAAATTATTTCAAAATTAAAATAATAATTTTATCATGTTTATTGGTTTTATACTAAAGGTCCACAGACAGGTTTTCCTTGTGGAATGTACAATATCCAATAAATAAACGATAAAAAACTAAAATTTAAAAAAATAAAACAATATATTTATTTAGATACAAATTTATTCCGATAATGGAACATATATTTAAAAAGAATATTTACGTATATTTTTGTTTTTTATTTCTATTTTAATTTTATATCACATACAAGTGGTCTAACACTACTACTGTGATTATTTATGTTTGTTCATTCTTTATATTTTAGGTATAGTGTTATTTTATATTATATTTGTATGTTTTTAAGATGATTATTTTTAAATAAATCCTTAATAGTTTCGAATTGTTTAAATGTGTCAGTCCTATTCGGTACACTTCAATACGCGCAGGCGCATGATTCTCTTCTTTTTATAAGATGGCTACCATCAATTCTACGTGCCTGATCAAAATGACATTTTCTATCTTCTCTAATTAGGCAATCCAACGACCTGTCAAATAAATTCAATATGGCGCTTGGTTGGCACACAAACTTAACGTCAGTATTGTTTACTTTTGTAAATCGAAAGTTTTGGAATCTTTTTTGAAGTGATTTAGGTATAATTTCGATTAGTTTTTTTAATAAATAGTATAAATTTAGTTTAATTTTGAAAGAAATGCCTGTAACCTGCCTTGTGGTTAATTGTGGAAGCCGTGCTGATTGGGATGTGTTTGGTTATTTTCGGGTCCCTACGTTGAAAAACTCTGTGCATTACCCACATATTAATACTTTATCAAGGAGAAGAAGGGAAATGTGGATAGCAGCTATAAAGAGGGACGATTTAACTGAATCGATTTACCTTTATTGATCTATTTTAAGGGTGATTTTAATTTAGTTTTTTGTTTTAAGGATACACTTTAAATTGTTTATTGTAATTACTTATATTTTATAAACTTACTGTATATTTTGCTATTGTGTATTCTCCTGTATTTTGTTTTTTTATGAACTTATTGTTGTATATATATTGTAATATACTATTGTACCTTGTACTTGTATTTTAGAATTTTATATAAAACTTAAACTTACTGATCTATATTTGTAAATTTGAATAAATATTTCTTTGTATATTGTGTCAATTTTATTTGTTATTGTAATTTGGTACTCAATTGAGTATGCAACTTTAAGCTGGACTTCTCCGAGGATATTAGATATAATCAAAGACCTTTTAAATATATATGTATAATGTATATATACTTTAATATAAAGTAATGTTAAAAGAAACAAGATCAACTTTTTGTTTGTTTTAAAAATAATTTAAACAGAAGTCAAATATCGTTATTTTAGTGAAATAATTACAAAGTTTTTTACATTATCCTGTAATTGGACCACTGGTCTATTTCGATAATTAAGGATTTTTTTTTATTAATAGTTCAATAAATAAAATAAAAGTCAAACTTACTACACTTAATTTATTAACAATTAAATTGAAAATATAACAAAAATATTTTTTTGTAAATATACTCAATCGCAAAATTAACTGGACATGAATCAAAATAATTATTTCAATTAATAATGTCTAATACATATTTTTCACAAAATAAACTAAAAACTTGTTTTCATACCATCAAAAATCGAGGAAAAAACTTTACAAGACGAAAATCAAATGTCCAGATAATTTTGCAGTTTGGCATAGTATAAAATTATACTATCTACAAAAGTCACAAATCCATTCATTATTTGGCATATTTGAAAGACCTACACATTTAAAATGAAACCATTTAATTTGGCAATTGTTATTATCGCAGCAAATCATTGGCGTTCCATCATCTACACTCTTACATTTGCACCAAAAAATCAATTTTGTAGATCCTTCACTTCTTGTGAAATATCTATCCAAAAGTTCTGGCATTATAATTTCAGTATGGAATTTTAATGCAATTTTTGAATTTGTATCCCAAAAATGTAAATCTGGAAATATTCTTTCAGTAAAAAAAATGAATGGAGACCAAATTACAAAATCGCAATATTTCAAATTGCACACAAGCATTTGCATTTGTACTTGATAAAAGTAAGAATGATCTCATTTTAATAAGATTTTACCATCTCCTAGAGATAGGCAAGAGTTTTTAAAATTACAATATTCCCTAATATCTTTAGTGCCATTTTTATATAAAAGATAAGGACATTTTACTTCCAACACTCCTCCTAAGCAACACTCACAATACACTATTCTATCTGGAGATGCTCCCAATTGTGGCCACCTGGAACTTACAACGAGGCCCACATCATTGATAATTAAATTTTCATGTTGTTCCTCCATTACTTTTTGGTATTCTCCAACAGCAACAGATTTATGCTCTAATCCCCATTCTGTTGCTTTTGTGTGGAATGCAGAGTTTACCGGATAGCATATACTTTTAATAAGCGACAGAGAAGGCGATTCTTTATTTGTCCTGCAAACAGCTTTTAGTTTTGAAGCAGTTATTCTTCCTGCTCTTTGTAAAAACCAATTATTAGTTGCATATTGTCCTTGGGTATACTGCTCAATTAATGATATTTGCTCTGCAGTCAAAGACATATCAATTTTTCTTGAGATTTCCATTAATTCAATATAATTTTTAGAAATATATATTTCTTGAAAAATATCTAATATGTTTGGTAATGTTACTTCTGAGGCTGCCTGCAGTTTGCTCCCAAATGGTTCCACTATCCTCATGAGGCTAGCAGTACGAGACAAACGTTCAACCCTTTTTAATAAATTTACTACACCTTCTTTAGACATCGTAGGTACAGTTCTGCGTTGTTGTACAGAAGCCACTGTACCAAAGTCCATTTTGGCTATTGGGATAATAGGCACTGCTGTAGACTGTGATGGCATGGGCCACAAAGCAGCTAACATCTGTACAGGAAACGGTACTTTTATTTCTGTTTGCATATTCAGCCGCAAGTAGCAAAGCACCAACATGGCTACATACTTCGCTATTACCTGCCATACATGTACAGTGACCACTTGAAATCGAACCATCACTAGTGATAATACACCAAGCCTCAAGGGGTTTAGCGTTAGCTCTTTGAGAATGTTTGACCTAAAAAAAGAAAATGTGTAAAAAACATGACTAACTACATTAATATACATTTTACAATGTAAAATATTTATGTGAAATAGATCATGAAAAACATCAAAAAATTAGGTACCTTTCCAACCATGACATAAAATTCATTCAAAATCCTTGTTCCTACTTTTAGGACAAAACCTGCTGAAAAATATTTATGAGCATCAAGGGATTTGTAGGCTTTCATCTGCTCATGAGTGTAAAAACTGTGAGTCAATACAATATATGAAAATATATCGGGATATGTGACTGGTGGAATGCCATTAAGACTGTAGTCTAAATCGGAAGTTGAAAATGTGAAAGGGTCCAAATTCTTAATCAATGTCAGCTTCAATAGATACCTACGAAAAAATTATATTATATTATTATTAGTTTCAAGCATAAAAGTTTGCTGATTAACTAAGAAAATAAGGGTAAAAATTCTCATATTTACCTCTGACCAACGTCTGGGTTTTCTTGCAATAATGTCTTAAAATATGAACTTTGCATATTGAATTATCGTAAATATTCAATTTAACTTTTCCAAACAACTAATAACGATTTCCAAATTTATCAAATGATCCAATAAAAACAATAAAACTTTAGAACTGTAGCAGAACACAATGTAAACCATAGGAACTTTTAACAATGTCTGCCAACCAAGCGCCATCTTGATAGTTAAAATGTCACGAGGTTTGGATTGCCTAATTCATATCTGTGCTGTTTCCTGATAGTTTAATGAAACAAATTTTCAAATTAAAGTTTTTACATATTTATATTACATATATTTCCTTTCCAGAGCTCCACCCAATCCTACCAAACTCCAACAAATGCTTCGACACCTACACCGACGTACAACCCATCAACCTGAGCAGTCTGACCAAAGCCTGCGTCGAGTCTATTCCAGAAATTAACAATTGCCAAGGTTTGGCTTTGGTTTCGGACGAAATCATACTTTTAGCATGTAACGAAACAGATGACGAAAACGTAAAGCCCTTGAAAAAGGGTTGTTACCGGATCATAAAACAAGACGGAAACGAGGGCGTCGTTTGTCAGAGATTTAAAAAGAGGAATTTGTGCGAGGTTATTAAAACTCCCGCCAACTTGGTTATCGAAGTTTATTGTGACAGGAGTGCACGAGGAATTGTCAATGTCAGACAGCTGAAGTTGACACGTTAGAAAGTTGTTTTAGATTGTTGTCACTGTTAAATGTGATGTTTCAAGTGACAGGAGTTCAGTATATAACTACTAATTCTCCAAGAAATTATTATAAATTTAACAGTTTTACTGATTTATATATAGAAAAGCACATTAGCATTCATTATTCGTTCAAAAATTAGGTTATGTGAAATCAATTACGCCAATTTGATTTACCCAAAAGTACAAATGAACTACGTTAAATGTATTTTTACTATAGATTTTTGTGAAAAAGCAATAAAAATTTGGCCCAATGACAAATTAGTAGCTCAATGAATGTATGCATTTATTTAAAACATTTCTAGAAAAAATCTTATCAAGTATTATTAGTTATTAAGTTTTTTTACATTCTATACTAGATTTATATTATATTTACAAATTTGTATAAAGATTGTAGAAAGGAAAAATTAAAATTTCCAAAAATATGTATACAAGAGTCTTATTTCCGTTTTTCGAAGAAAGAAAAATGTAAGAAGGGGCTGAATATTTGAAGTGTTGTATTTTGAACCCTTCTGTGACAAATTTTAGGGGTAAGTAATAAAACTAGAACTGGATTTGTGCAATAAATTCTCAAAGGGGTTTAGGAAATTCGGATTTCGGACCGTCACACTTATTAAAAATTTGACAATATTTGCATAACTGCAGCAGGTATATTTGGATTTATAGTCGTATAATTTTTGTTAATATTTTCGCATTTTGGCAAAATACAGTGCAGTCCATCAGTTTTCGCAAAAGTTACTGGCATCTTTCAATGAAAGTAAGTAAAAAATTCATAAATTGCCAATTTGAACTCTTGATATTTGTTTCACACAAAAATACGAAAATTATTCCAAAATATATATTTTTTTTTTGTTTGCTGAGAAGAAAACAAAAAAAATGACGTCACACTAAATTTAAAATAGCGGACAATTTTTTTTATCTATCATCATGACCCATATCATGATGAATCAAATGAAAGGGTTTCCTGAGAAGAACCAATGACATATATAGTTTAAATAGACTGCTTATCCATACGTAAATAAAACGATGAAAAGCGGGTCGAACTGGGAGATGTTTTCTCTTTGTCTAGTGCATGCAATGTTTGTGTTTTGTCTCAATTTTGAGTGCTCACTGGTAAACAAACCTTTCACAGGACCGGTTTTAAAGAAAGTTTAGTCTAGTTGAGATTTTGTTCTCATTGTCATTACTCAGTCGGACATTTTGTTGAATTGTTTATTTTATTTAGTTTTAATTATACTTATGTTCTGTTTTAAGTTTTTTATTATTTGAGTGTAAAAACTTGTTTTGTTTTTAAATTTAAATGGTGAATTCTCTATAAAGGGTTGTAAGACCAGCTACAGAAATATAAAAAGTAACATTTCATTTTTCACGCAAGTATCAATACAAGTAGGTACAAGGTAAATACGTTTATAATAATTTTATGAATTATAATTAATTATAATAATAATATTAATAATAAAGTATTTATTGTTAATACAATTACATAAATATTATTATATTCAAAGGCCCGAGTTAGAGCTATCTGAGCTTTACAAGTACATTTTAAAAGTTAGTTAGATAGAGAGAAGTATCGTATAATAAAAACTCAATATAAATAGAAGAAAAACGGACATAAGTACCAATACAGAGAGACAAACACTTTTATTCTTTGATAGGTTCTTTCTATGTGAATTCTAGCTCTGGCAATTTTGGCATTAAGTAAAGCCTCTTGATGGCTGAACTGATTTTTTTTTATTGAGGAAAGGAAGCTGTATAATTTGTATACCTTCAGCTTCTGTTATGTTTCCAATAAGAAAACGTTTGTTAAACATTTTACTATCGAGAAATGATTCACACACTTCAAGTATTGATCTTTGTTAAAAAATGTCTATTTCTGAAGTTCTACCACCATAAGCTTCATTTTTGTAAGTAATGAGACCAGTAGCACTCCAGTCAATATTTTAATAGTATGCCTCTTTTTGTAGTCAGAGTAATTTTTTAGCCTACAACAAATACATTTGGCTTGCTGTGTTGGGATTTCGGTACAATCAAGTAGTACTCTTACTTACATAGAGGCACATTATTTAATATTTCTTGTTTTGAAGGCCGAATCATACCATACTAAGAACTTCTACCAGTTTTATTAAAAACTGTTAAAAAATTTAATGATAAAACGTTTCATTCACTCCAAATAAAATGGATAAGACATTATATCTTGCATATCAGTTTTCAACTTCATAAAAGTAAATTATAACTTGATCCTTTACAGACATAACTGATCTCCTTTTTCCTATTCTTTAGAAACAACTCTGCCACTAATTCCACAATGGTGGCTAATAACTGGAAGGATTGCAATCCTATTAAAGTAGATAGTTCTTTAGCACTAACAATTCTGTTTGAAAACGGATCAACTAAATCACCACTCTTCACTTGTGTTGAACAATCGATCCCAATTTTCTGCTTTTAAACAAAGTTTTGTAAATTAAGCAAAGCTCTTCAGCAGCACACAAATCTTCATGATCTTCTTCAGTAGTAGATATATGTTCATTAACTGCAAAAACACATTAAACATAATAATAATTAACCAAACATTTTAAATTATGCATACGTACATCCATTGCCTGAAGAAGATAACTCAACACTTAACATTCTACTAGTACTGGCAACATATCATTATTAAAAACAGTAGCCATAATCCTTGTTTTAGCTGGATTACTTTTCTTTTTATTAATAGTCGCTTTCTTTTTACCACTAATCTGAGCTAACTTACATCGACTAAGCTTAGTTGTACGTTCTTTTTGTGATTGTAAGTCAGAATCTTTCTTTCCCCGTTACCGATGCTAAGGTACACGGATCTTGACGTCAACTAAGATTGCACTTTGTACCTAGTTCATTTTACTATGATGTTGATCAGATTTCCACTGGTGGAATCTTATTATTATTCATCAAATCATTCACATTCACCGCCAAAATAATCCTTAATTGTCTAAAGGGAACAAACTTTAGAATGTGAAAAAGCTACCAACTTTTAGTAAAATCTCTAAAAAGTTCATTCAATTTTTGCATAATATCTGGTTTTATAATGCGAAAGTAATTTTAAAAGAATAATCAAGTGTCCGAATAGTGCCATTATACAGTGGTCGTGGTCTAAAGTTAGTTATATACACATGAGTATAAAATTGTTTATATCTATGTTCAAAATTGGTTAGATCTCTTAAAATGTTTTGAAAATTGGGAAACTAGACGTTATGACTCAAAATCCTTTTTTAAAATACCTAACGCAAGCTCCTGTCTTGAAATAAACATACAGATAATTTTTTTTTTAATTTAATTCCTACTTTGATGAAATATGAGTTTTAAACTCATTTGGGCCAGACCGATTCTGCCTGGTGAGCACTCAGCCAAGCTATATGACCCGCTTTTTGTCGTCTTGTTTATATATGGATGAGCAGTCTATTAATCTATATATGTCATTGAGAAGAACACGAAATAAAATGACGTCACTATAAATTTATTATGGCGGACTTACATATAATTCACCACGACATGGATATAGTCCTCAAGGTTAGAATTTTCTTCTTTTTAGAGCATTTAAATAAAAACTTGTTTTTAAAAATGTTTTTTTTTTTAATATTAATTTATTTTTAAAATCATCGTTCTTTATTTGCATCGTTGGTATATCTGCGAAAAATTAATTTTAGGTGCAGGGTCATGGTTCGGGGGTGCTGAATACACTTCAATTGGATTTTAAAGTATATCGACTCACCGTTTATGATTCTTGCGAAATTTCAGGTAGTCTTTCACCCTTTTGGGTGGAGCAGTTTACAACATCTTGCGAAATTTCGACTTGGAATCTTTGCAGAAAGGCTTAAGATGTCAATAAAAGTGAATTGGGGTGATAAAATAGAAGGATTGGAAAGTAAAAGTGAGTCGGCACACTTGGATGTCCGGGACCTTTCGGTGAAGGCTATAAAGGATTGGGCGGTATGTTTGCGAAAACAGTTTTTGTTTAGGAAATTGGATTTAGAAAATTTCGATGTTATGCATTAAAAGTAAAAGTGTCGAGGGATGGATAGAAGGGTTGCGTTCTGTAATGAAAGTGAAATTTTTAAATACTATAAGTTGATGGTCATGTCTTTGTAGTAATGATGGTCTGATGCGATTACCACAATAATGGTGGCAGAATGACACTATGAAAGCAATTATGTTTCTGAATTTCTAAAAAGGTTCTAGATAAAACAAAGTTTGAGCAATTTTAATTTAAATTTATTGTGAATAGTTTTTTTATAGGCATTTAAATTTGTTTTATCATTTTGTAACTAAACTATTTCATCGAATAGCACATATATTCATAATATTCAAACATGTTGCATTCAAATATTGTCAAAATATAAAAAAAATACTTATAGCAAATAGGTAACAACTATCTTTTACCGTTGTATGAAGATAATATAGTAGGATAATGCAACAGTAAAAAGTTTTGGATGCAATCTCGAGCGCCATCTACTGACGATTTAAAGAAGTAGTCAATTTTTAATTCTATGCAGATACGCCCTCTACGTCTTCTTTTCGATGAGGCACGTGGCCTCTACTATGTATCACCTACCTATTAAAGTTAAAAACATATCTTTATTTATTTAAAAATAACAATTCATGATAAAATACATAAAAAATTAAACATAATAATGAAAATTTAATTTTTGGATGAAGGTGATAAAAAGTTGTTAAGGACCTAGGTCAATATTTTAGTTATGTGCGGTTATGTCAATGTATATAAACAGTAACAACTAATAACAATGTCCAATGTTTCAAATAAATTGAAAAGTTCCAAGAGGAAGACAAAAAAGGAAGGCAATTTGTTATTGCTTTTAAGTTTTACCCTTAAGTAGGGAGAGAGAAAATCAATATTACGATAAATGTTCCAGCCTCTTTCTGGTTACATACCTTAAGTACGCTCTCTTTCTTTTTAATCGTTTCAGTAGTAAGGTTGCTCTCTCTCCCCATTTAAATTTATTATTAAGTACTCTAGTTTTTGGTTAAGTAATTAATTGTAACATAGTGATTTTCTTGTGATAGTACTTGACTTAGATTGTGGCTAACGTTTCTGTATATAACTTCGCTGTTTAGTAATAAACAAAGTCAAAACGAGAACACGAGGTTTTATTCTGGAAAGTATTTTTAAATTGAATCACGCACGCCGTTTGAGTGAAAATGTTTTAAGTGGTTCAAAACAACAATCACTATGTTTGTTTATAGAATACAGCCTTTTAGCTAGGCTCAGACAAAACTGATTAAATAAATAAATTAATGTCTTATTATTTGCATTTTTGTTTGTTTAGACTGGTTGACTATCTCAAAAACTAAAGCCAATCAAGCAAAACGTGAGTCACATTTCGGTTTTTTAGAAGAACAATGATGCAAGTGAAAATTAATGATTCCACATAAATAGC